AGAGGATAACATTTGGACCACAAAATGTATTATGAGGGCTTTTGAACTGGTCTCCGATTTGAAAATAAATTATGGGAAGAGCTCCTTGATCGGAATCAACGTTGATGACCAATGGGAAAAGGAAATGACATGTTTATTGAATTGCAAATTAGGATCTCAGCCTTGTAAATATCTGGGTATTCCCTTAGGAGCAGACCCTAGAAGAATAGCCACTTGGAAGCCACTAATTGACACCTTTAAAAGAAAATTGTCATCGTGGAGGGGACGTCACTTATCTCTTGGAGGAAGAATAACTCTCATTAATGCTGTGCTATCCAGTCTACCGGTGTTCATAATGTCCTTTTATCTCCTTCCAAAAAATGTCATAGGTGAGTTAGACAAAATTAGGAGACAATTTTTATGGGGGGGAGTTGATGAGAGGAAAAAAGTTGCGTGGGTAGCATGGGAGAAGATATGTAAAAACAAGAGTGAAGGGGGTCTGGGTATTAAAAATTTGTCTTGTTTTAATATGTCACTCCTAGGAAAATGGTGGGGAAGGCTGATCATGGAGGAAGGGGGTTTGTGGAGAAGAGTCCTATATGAAAAATATGGGTATAAAGAAGGGAATTGGTTATCCATCTTGAGGGAGGGTAGCTCTTGAGGTTCAAGGTGGTGGAGGGATGTTTGTAAAATAGATGAAGGGGCGAGCATAAAGAATAATCGGCTGAGCTCAGGGTTTGAAGTGAAATAAGGGGATGGCAAAAACATGAAATTTTGGTCGGATGAATGGGTAGGAGGGTGTGCTCTATCTAACAAATATCTGCGCTTGTTCATTTTATCCACAGGTGAAAATTCCAAAGTAAAAAAAATGGGAACCTGGACGAGTGGATGTTGGCAATGGAAATTTTCATGGAAGCGTCAATTGCGTTCGTGGGAGGAAGAACTAGAAAAAGATCTGCTACAGACGCTTAAGATAGCTCATCCAATACACGACAAAGAAGACCAATGGCGGTGGCAATCGGAACCTTCGGGGAACTGCACAACTAAGTCAGCATATGATCAACTTATAAAGGGGGGCAATAAACCCGCAGGTGACTTCAAAAGGACGTGGAAGGCCTCCATCCCACCCAAAGTAAGCGCTTTTTGTTGGAAATTGCTCCTCAAGAAACTCCCTACTAAAGATAATTTAGCAAAACGTGGTATCTTAACTGATAATACGAAGCTAAGATGTTGCTGGTGCAATACATCAGTGGAAACACCCGACCATTTGTTTGTTAACTGCAACTTGGCTTTTGATTTATGGATGAAATGCTATAAGTGGTGGGGCAAGGAATATGTGTTGGGTAACTCATGCATGATGGTTTTCGATCAACACAAATGGAATGGAAGTTCAAAATTGCTAGATAGAGGGTGGAATATTATCTGGTTTGCAGTAGTATGGACACTCTAGCTGGGTAGAAATGACATGATTTTCAATGCAAAGGAAGCAAAGTCAGAATGTCTTTTTCAGCTAGTTCAAACTCGATCTTTTTACTGGGCAAAAAATATTGCAGGAATGGATGGGTTTTCTCTACCAAACTGGTGTAAAAATCCAACCAAATGTTTAAAGAACAAAGCCTACGTGAAAGAAAGAGCTTGAACTGGACTCTTTTGGGACTTTACTTTTGCTATGTTCCGTTATAGTAGCTGGTGATTAAGAAAATCTTTTTCACCTGTTGATGTATGTAAGTTATGAGCTGGAATACCCCTGTATTCCATAATTAATACATTCTTTTGCCTTTCAAAAAAAAAAAAAAAACTATTCTCCCGTTAAGTATATAACTTTTTTTAATTGTTAATGTTGATATGGAAATTAAAATGGCCACATGTCACACATTAAATGTTGATGTGACAAATTTAAACAAAAAACAATTATAACATCATAAAATTACAACAATGCCCTTAAATTCATCTTTAACCTCCAAACTCTCTCTCTTCCTCTACATCCCTTTGACAAAATTACAACAATTCCTTCGCTTTCTTTTCCTCTTAACAGTCAACTATCTCTCTTCCTCTATATCAATGCTTGCAAATTGTAGTTTCATTAAAAAAAAAAGAAGCATAAATGCTTGCTTTAACACCATATTTTCCCTCAACTCCTTGGAAAACCTATAGACTATGTTGGGATTAGGCCCAACGCCCTCTTAGGGCCACATGCAGTAGGCCTAACTACGCACCCACAGGCCCAAAAGGAGGAGACATACCCACGTGGGCAGCACCACGTGGGCCAATGAGAGGTTTACATGTGCAGATACATGTCAGCACTGGGGGCTATAAATACCTCCCAACCACCTCCGAAGAAGGTAATTAATCTCTA